ACACACACACGGCATGGTGATGAGCTTTCAAAGGCTGAACTTGGGAAGAAACTGAGCACAGATTGGATATGTGATACATGGTGTGAACTGCATGTGTGTGTGTGTGTGTGTGTGTGTGTGTGTGTGTAGAAGCCTGTATGAGAAGGAATAATCCGTTCAGCTCACAGTGTTCCTACCACGAGGCACAAATTAAACCCAAAACCTCAGAAAAGTGCAAGGACTGCAATTACTTCAAAGTTCATTCTCTAAATTGCTAAAGTAATGATTTTCTAGATTGTTAACTTGTTTGCCAGGTTTGTCCTCAGCGCTGTCTCCTTAACAACCTCATGGTATGTATTCTTCTATTCATTTATTCTAATGTTTGAGGGGAAACATGGTGTTCCTGCAACAGCAGTGATTTATAAGCATTAACTCTCTCTCTCTCTCTCGTGTTTATTTCAGTGCATCTAAGCTGCAGACTGTGTATTTTGATGAACAGAAACGAGCACAAAGTGAGACTCTGTGGCCATGAAAACATGTATTTATGCATTCATTCTAACACGAGGGTCACAAGGCCAAATCAACAAGCAAGCTTAGAAACCAAAGTGATTGGAATCACAATCAGAGGAATCAGAGTATTTTACCACTTGACTCGGTTTGAAGTGCACATTACAATGTAAAGTTGTATAAAAAGAAATGTAAATGTAGCAGAACTTAACTGAGCACTAAAAGCGTCAAGTAGGCCTTTTTTTTTATTTTTTTAAATATATATATGTTCCATCACATCGTGCAGTACAGGCTTTGTGGGGTGGAAACTGTTCATGCTATTGGAGCTGTTTCCTGTTACAGACTTCATGTTTGTGTCATGTGTCTGTAGTTTTCTGTGGTTAATGCTTGGTATACATCAATACATCATCTTACATTTGAAGAATAGAGAAACATTTACTCTGACCTGCTGTGGACATTCTTTCTAAAATAAACCTTATTGGATCATTAGCCCACATGCTGAGCCCACTGTTTAGAAACTGTTTAGAGCTTCGGCTAGTCTCAATAAAAGGTACTGAGTGTTTATTGAAGAAAACCACTCTCAGTAATCCTGGCAGTCCGAGGCTGTACAATGACTGAAAGGTCATAACTACATATGTCTCCGCGCCTGAGACGGACTGACTCCCACACATGCTGACTCACACTTCTGAAGGCCCCTAAAATGTGAAAAATAATTGTTGCTACCATGATGGTGGAAAAGGTGGGTGGCATTTTTTTGGCAGGGCCTTTTTTTGTCTTCTGGCAGTCCTACCCTGAGTCTAGATTGCAGCAGTTAAACTCACAATACCTGATTAGACACAGACATTTATTTGATAACACTGACCGGAGGAAGAATAAAGAGAGAGAGAGAGAGAGAGTCTCAATGGTCACACCTACACACCGAGCAGTCATTTCTTTGTGTGAAAGCATTGGATTAAATACCAGGACTGTGATGTAAAGGTGTAAAAGTTGACTTTATTTGGTAAAAAGTTAACTCTAACATATATAACTATTATCAAAACATTTGACTGAAGCTGGTCCGGACTCACTTTCAATAATAAGATACATTTTTCACTTCTTAACTGATAATAATAATAATAATAATAATAATACATTTAATTTGTAACGCACTTTACATTTTTGCAAAAAAATCTCAAAGTGCTACAGGAAGAAAAAATAGAAATAAAAACAAATTTAATCAACTAAGCAACTAACAAAACTAAAAGCACAAGCAGAAGGCTTTGTTAAAAAGGTTTTTAAGGCCCTTTTAAAAGCGTCAGCAGACTGTGGAGCCCTCAGCTGCTCGGAGGAGAGCGTTCCACAGACTGGGGAGCAGAGGAGCAGAAGGCCCGGTCACCCATGGTGTGGAGTTTAATCCTGGGGGGGATGGAGGAGGTTGGTGTTTCCAGAGCGGAGGCTTCATGTGGAGGATTGTGGGGTGAGGAGTTCTTTGAGATAGAGGGGGGCATTTCCATGGGTGCACTGGTAGGTGAGAAGAGTGACTTTGTATTGAATCCTGAATGAAATAGGGAGCCAGTGTAGCGTCTGAAGGATGGGTGTGATGTGTTCATATTTACGCACTCTCATCAGGACCCTAGCAGCGCTGATCCTTTTAATGTTGTCATTAAGATGTCTTTCTATGTAAACCACCAACTTCCTGTTTCCTGGCATCTGTCACAACAACAAAACAAACAAACAAACACACAGCGTGTCTGGTGCCATGAGGGTCATTCAGAAACACTGAATAAAGAGGATCATGGGGGATTGTGTTCTGTGTGTTCACCACAGCAGAGCCACCTGTTCATCCGTTTGTTCCGCTTCTTCTTCAGGTGATCTTGAGGAGGGTGAGCAGAGCGACAGCTGCTTCTAGTCACAAACGACTTCTCACCTCTCCTTTGTGGGATCAACAGGTACGGTCGACTCTCCAAGATGTCTACATCTAAGGTACTTTAAGGAATGTTTGGGATAAAAAAAACAACATTATTGAACCTTCAAAATGCATAAATGACCAGTTGACCTGAGAAACTGCTCAAGTTTTTAATTCCAATTTCACATGCACATAGAAGTTAAAATGACCCTGAAATCTTCACCCACCTTTAAAATGTAACAGGTTATTTATTTTTTTTGCCTTTTTCACTTTGCTCATTTGTCAAAGAAATGTAACACCAGTTTCAAAACGTGCCTGTTTGTCCTAAGAGAAGCATTTCTGCAGACTGATAGAGAAAACCTTTCTGACATATTCACGCATCAACACGCTGGCAGTTGTCCAATTAATCAGATCTGTTTACTTCTGTCTTAATAGACATTAGGTATGACCTCACAGCAGAAGGACATATTTTTACAAGAATACACCAATGTTCACCCAAAATCACTCAGAAGGACAATGCAGAGAAACTATATGTACGTTTTTTTTTTTGTGATTACATACCAGTTTGTCACCCTCTTATCAACTGGATTCATCCTGGATTTTTCCAGTCTCAGATTAGATGAGATTCAGACTCACCACTCGACCTCTAGTCTGCAAAGTAAAGTTTGTATACAAAAAGTAGGTTATGGAACTAAATTCATTTTTTATTTTAATCTTAAATGTTAGAAAATGAAAAACAAAAACCCTCATAGACCACAAAGGAAGAGAAACAATCATTTTGAAAGTAGCCTAATAACATATATTTTTTATTTTTTTGGCGGGAACAAAGGCATTATTTTGAAAGTTGTCGCCGGAAAATACATCCACGCTTTGTCTCGTTTGACACATGTTCACTTTTGAAAACGTAAATACCTGAAGGAGAAGCGGACTGATGAACTCGTGGGAGTGCAAATATGTTTTAACATCAGGTACATTGTCCAGTTGGAAATGACCAAATTAATCCATTAAGTCAATCAGGAGTTAAATCAGCCAATCGCTGCTCCGCTGCTCGATTGCGTATCGATTTGGGTTGGAGCGTCTCCTTTGGACTCGGGGGGGGGAGGAGGGAACGGGGGGCTGCTCTCGTCAATCTTCGGCGCGCTCGGCACCTGTGCGTGGATCTTCAGTCCAGGGGATTGTACTTTATGGACCAGCAGAGGGAAAACCTCTTTCCATGTTCGTGAATTCATCAGAAAACGTGGAATGAAGGAAGCAAATTAAAGAAAAAAAACACTGATGAGAGTTGGCGAGTAAGTGCAACTCGAACGCGCGGTGTGCTGCTGCAGAAGAGCAAACTGGTGTAACATGACATGTTTTTTTACGATGGGAAGAAATGACTGCTGCATCCTCCAAATAAAGGAATAATTGATGAATAAAGCAGCAGGCAGAGCGGATCGATACGAGACGCTGATTGAGGAGTCCACCTCAAGACTCTAAACTGGATCTTGCTGCGGGCATCGATCACCGGATTTGACTGATCACCCTCAGACACTTTACACCCTTGAAGGTAAGTTGGATGAATTAGACAAAACATTATCTCCAGATGGTAATGAACAGGCTCTAGCTTATTATGATGTGTTTTTCGGTCCATATCGAATCCCACAAGTCCTCCCCTCAGGCCCACACCTGTTGTTGTTTGGATGTCCATTCTGGAGTCTATGTGTTCAGATCAGCAGTGTGGAGAACGCGAGAGGAAAATGCATAGAAGACAAATTTAACATTTCATTGTGTGTAATGATAATCTCCAAAGACTGCAGCAAAAACATTCGCACGGATCTGTGTTTCATAAAGTTTTAAATAAATCATCGAGCGTTGACCTGCTTAAATGAATCGTCTTGTAAATTCCCGTGTCTCTAACAAAACAGAAGCACAAACTTGCATCTTTATTTCAAACAACAATCAATCACTCACATGAGAGTATGCAATCCGAGCAGAATGTTTTAATGTAACGACAAAAAAACGCCTGTTGGTGATGATAGAGCTGCTGCATGGATAGATATTTGGTCACTGATGACGAGCAGCTCACAGGATGTGTGTCTGTGTTTTCACTCGATGTGCTGTACTGGAGCCGTGAAGGGGCTCAGCGAATTTACACTTTAGACCCCCCGCCGGGACTCCTGCCGCCTACCCCCCCACCCACACACCACTCCCAACACCAGCATCGTCCTGATGCGCAGAGTCCCCACGAAGCGCCCCTTGGTCCACACGGTGGCGCACGCTGTTACGCACAGCGCGCTCTCTCTGTGTGTGATGTGTCTTCACAGCATCCACCTGCAGAGCGCACTGTGAGCAATATCCAGTGGGATGTAAAAAACTGTCCGCACACTTGTGTTCTTCTTGCAGACTCAGACAAACACACAGCAACAGACTATTTTTGTTCCTTCACATTTTCTGTCTGTCTTGGTGTCTTTTTCCTTCTTGTCAGCGCCTGTCTGTTTGTCATTCCTTATTTGTCCATCCGTCTACCTCATATCTTTCTCTCTCTCTTTCTGTCTCAGAGTTACTGGCTCACTCTCTTTATTTTGCCTCTCCCTCCCTCCCTCCCTCCCTGTCTCCTCTCCCTGTGTATTCTGTGAGCACAGCCGCAGGCAGGCAGGGCTGAGTCTGTCATTGGGACTCACTAATGAGCCCTCCACTCCGTCTCCTCGCGTGGTGGAATGTTTGGGCTGGCGAGTAAGTGAGAGAGCAAAAAAAAAGGGGAGCGAGGGAAAAGGGGAGCGAGGGGAGTCACAGAAAAAGGGAGGGAGTGAGGAGTCAAAGGAGTGGAGCATGAGAAAGAGCTGTTGTACCTGCTGCTCTCACTGCTCAAATATTAACAACGGGTTCGTGGGAGCTGATGCCGCTGCTCTGGGACAAGCCCAAACTGTGGAGGCAGCCGGGCTCAGTGGTCTGTGGACAGGCAGTCTGCCGCTGCTGCTGGAGGCACCACTGCATCTAAGACTCTAATGGAGGAGGAGGTCACAGAGCCTGATCCTCAGATGGTGGAGCCCACTGGCATCCAGCCGCCAGGGATGCACTTTGAGGTAAATGGAGATTTGCCCGGGAACCCTTGCCTGAGGGACGGGACGGAGGAGGTGATGGAGAGTCCGACGAGGGAGCCTGATGTGCTGCAGTATCCTGCTGAGTACAGCCAGAGCCACCAGTACGGGTAAGAATCAGCATGGGAGAGACGGGGAGAGAGAAACAGTCTGTTGCTGCAGGAAGCAGCTGTGTGCCGAGAGGTGTCACTTCAGTGGGACTCTCTTGTCTCTTTTTTTTTTTTCAGTTTGGAGAGCGTTTGACTTCTGTTTTGGACTGGTGGTTTGATGAATTGCATTTCCAGCTGGTTGGCTGCGTTTTCAAGCCTCCACTGCACAGTCCACTGAGGGGCTTTAACCATTTAGAGCTTTAACAGGGTTCAGCCATGATTTATTGACTCACAGCAATATTCTTCACTTCATTATTTCCAATGCAGGGACAGATGTCCACACACCTTTGTTTTATTGTCAGTATTGTGTAACTTAGTGTTTTTTTTTTTTACTCACCTGAGGAGCAGAGACGGACCTGTAGTAAGAACGAGTAATCCATCTTTAGACTTCCTAGATTGAGCTGCTCTGTTTTTTAAAAAAAGCTGTTGTTTAGCATCTCTTTGTAATGTACGTTTGCTGCTGCTGCTGCAGTGTCCAGTTTTGTCCAGAGCTCAAAATGTGTTTACACGGATCCACGAGCGGACAGAGTCATCATGGCACCAAGCTGCCTCCTCACCAGTAAGAGAAAAAAACGTGTTGGACCAGAACAGCACAACTCCCACTTGATACAAAGTTAGCAGATTCAGCAAAAATCACTTAATGAGCTGGATTGAAATGTTATATCCTGAACTGAACTGGACATTGTTTGTTTACATGTGCGGGATCCAGTATTTGTCATGCCTGCTTGATGTGTGTCTTTAGCGTGTTCTGTTTTTTATATGGATTTCATACTGGTGCGTTGTGCAGGCCAGAAATCTCTCTCTGTAGAGATTCTCATCTTTAGGGCCTTTCTGATTTAATAAAGGTTTATCTGGGGAAAAACTTTTACAGTGATGGGAAATAGTCAATCTAGTATAAAACACACTGAACATGCTGTTGTGTTTCTTTCTCTGGATGGAAAGCCTTTAATATTCTGCTCATGTGGTCACACCTCACACTGTGTCGTCTTATCAGATGTTCTTCCTTTTCTCTCACGTCTCTTTTTAAAGAGGTGATCAAACAAGCTTCTCAAACCAACGCAGAGCAGGAAGCATGGACTGCTCTTTGTGATTGAGTGTGGATTTATCCTTAAAGCAAACCTCACCTTTTCTTTCTTGGGTTTTATAGTTAATCAGTTTTCCTTTTGAAGGGAAGGAATTGCAATTTGTCCGTGTAATGGAAATAGTGACTTTTAATGCCCTGCAAGAGAATTACACAGTGCTGATAACTCACTCTGTTCAGACAAAGACGGCTGTCTTGCTCAACAGATTTGTCTGGACTTACTCATAAAGATGCTGCCATATAATGGTCATCATTAAAGCGTTTGATTGTGTGTCTGGAGGGGTCTGCTGCCAGTACACAGTGTTCTGCATGTGTCCCCCACTCACTATTTGTCCGTTGCTGTTGGCTGTTGTGCTGCAGGGTGTGATGTGGAAAAATTGCCATCTGGCCTCCTTGTCATGCAGAAAGCTTTGAATAATTCTGATCCCTTTTCATCAGGTTGTTCTCTCGCTCTCCAGAGTCAGCACTCTGAACCGAGGTCTGCTTTGGTATCCCAGTGTGGTTGATTAGTGGTTTCTTAGAAATCCAGGAAGAGAAGTTTGGCACTCGTGGGGTTAATTTTATATTTTGTTTTGTGACAAAGTTTAAACAAAAGGAGAAGATCTATGTGTGTGATTAGTCAGCTAACTGTCAGCTTACAGCAGCACAGTATCCAACGTTTATGATCAATATGATAGAACTTATTCCGAGCAGTTTTTTACCCGATCTGAAATGCAATACAAAACAATGTATCATACAGATTGTAAGGTGTAATCAGTTCCTCTGAGCTGCCTTAAGAAACATTTGATCTGATTAATAGGCAAGGCACGTTTATTTATGTCGCACATTTCAACAACAAGGCAATTCAAAGTGCTTCACACAAGACATCAAAAGCATCATGACAGAGGAGAGAAAATAAATCACTGAAATTGTTAAATCTGAAAATATGTTCAAATAAAAATAATAAAAATGAAATTAATTGAAATAAATCAAGTAAAAATTAATAATAAGTAATAATAGAGATGTTTTTTCTTTCTCTTTGTCCTTCCAGACCTCAGTGTTTAATCAGAAGGTGTGACGCTCATCACTGGGGTCTTATTTATTTCTGAACACAACACAGAGAAACAGTTACTGGCACCAGTTTACAGCGGAGTGCTTCTTCCTTCAGGGTTAAAGAGTTTTCGATGAGTCCTGTCATCGTCGTCTTCTCCTTTAAGTGTCGCTACAAGAGCTGCTTTACCTGCAGCTTTAGTGGAGGTGGTTTTATTTATGTCTCAGCTGTAATTGAGTTCAGTTCTGTCGTGACCCATTCTTAACAACACAGCACAGACTTAAAAGGACTTTGAGCCACTAATGATGCTCAAGTTTGTCTGCTGTCATTGAAGTGTATAGGTGACGAGAAAGACGCTTTAAAGGGAAAACAAGCTTCAGGTGATGAGAAGGTTGTTTTTATTATCTCAGGGTTTACATTTTCTAACTGAACTGGTTCTGCTCTCACAAAGGTGGTTCATGTATTTTTCCTGGTCTGACTGATTTTTCCTCATCATCAGAAATTAGACATCATCATTAAAGCCCTAAGTGGAGCCTTTAATCATTGAAACAACAAAGAGAGATGATTCTCTGCAGAAGCTACAATGCTTTGATCAGGTGCATTCAAGTATGATTATACTTTAATGTATCTACACCACCAAGCATTACGACACTGTAGCTGGGACCTTGACCACCTCAGTTGGTAGAGCAGGCACCCAATGTACAGAGACTACAGTCCTGCACAGCTAGTCGCAGGTTCGACTCCTTCGTCTTTAGTTAGTTTAGTTTATTAGTTTATTTGAATCAGCGACAGTGTACAAAAAAAACCATTAGTCTCAGAAGAGAAGAGGTGCTTCATACTAGATTTAGCTAACTAGCTCATTTCCATCTGTTGTCCCTGTGCAGGCGATGGTTTAGGGCAGTGGTACTCAGCCTTGTTAGACTTAAGAGCCACATTGACCAAAAAAAATATTTCTGCAAGAGCCACAATCAAACTGTGTGGGAAACACAGTGACATGACTTGCAAAGAATAATTTCTGCTGGCAATGTTTCCCTTTTTTAAATAATTACTTTGGATTTTTTTTCTCCAAGTAGGCTAGGACCTAAAAGAGCCACAACTAGTCCCAAATGAGCCACATGTGGCCCGAGAGCCTCGGGTTGAGTCTCACTGGTTTAGGGCATGTCATCCTCCACTCTCTCTCCCCCACATTTCCTGTCACTCTATAGCTGACCTGCCATGTAAAGATGCTGTTGTTTCAAAAAATGTTTGATAGGATGGTGAGAGGAGGAGCCTTTCATTAGTCCTCACCTGTTACTATTCAGTACGTTCAGTATGTTTTATGATATAAAAAGAGTGAAAACAGGTCTATCATTCTGTAGAGTTGCAACAGTTTGAGTTTCTGGAAGCAGCATCAGGTCGTCTCTGTGATTAAATGTAACAGGTCCAATCACAGCGAGTACAGCCATCAACAACAGTCCGTCCTGTCAGTTCATCGTGTCCTTGAGCCAGACGCACTGGACCCCGACTTCTCCCTCACTGAAAGTTACTTTGGATAACAGCATTAGCTAATGGCCCGAACGTAATGTAGCATTAAAGATACGATCCCATCAGACGAGAGCAGGTTTGTTTTTTTAGTGTCACCATCATGTGTGTTTGGATTTCTCAAATGAGGATCTCGTCTTAAAGGCTTAAAACAACAACTCGTCTAAACCAAATTACCCTCCATACTTCACACGACATCAATTCCTTACAGACTATTTAGAGGAAATACAACAACAGTGATTAAAACAATTAAAGTAAAGTGGCTTTTGGACCATTGGTCAGACGACACATCAGAGTCTGAGTGACTGAAGATCACTGGTGTTGTGATATTTAACAGAGTAAGGTTGAATTTGTCAATCAAAAAAAGCTCATTAAGAGTGAAGCGGCTCCTTTGTTGCCGCTCTGTTCAAGAGTATGAAAGCACATGTGTGTATCCTCAAATGGTTTGAGAATCCCATCAAAGCAGCTCGCTCACTCCGAGGTACCATCCTGTGATTTTTATCTCAAAGTCATTTCTGAGGCTCATTTTTATCAGCCGGTCAATCTAACTATTAAATCCCAGAATCCTCGGCTCTCTTTCTATCGAGCCTGATGTATCACGTTCTCGGGGAATAGAGAACAGATTTGCCGGGGTCTTTTTTTTTTTTTTTTTTTGAGTCTGCGGTGATTACTTCCTGATTTAAGTGATTACTATATGTTGCTCTGCTCCTGAAGGGCAAATTAGCTCATTCTGCTGAGACCTTGATCAATTTAATCAAGTGTAATGATGCTGAAGGCTGTGAACAGCTCTGTTCAACACTGTCTTCCAGAGGAGCGGAGATCAAGTGGTTTTCAGCAAATTATTATCTCACTGCTCTAATGTATTCATACACATGGTGACTGTGTGAGATTTAAAAAAAAAAAGTCTGGAGTCAAATGGTAAAATCTGCTTTAAGAAAATCTTTGTTTGCCAGTCATGTCTGGTTGTCTGGTTACAGGAAAGGACAAATAGTGAATGCATGATATGTTATTGGCATTGCTCACTGACACAGACGGTGTTTTTGAAGGCAACAAATCATTACACAGATACGTGTGGGGAAAGTGCACTCCTCTTTGCAGAATCATCACTGCCGTCTGGAGACACTTAGGAGGGACTTAAAATCCCACTTTATGAATGCACATAAACATAAATCTCAGTTAAATCAACAAAAAACAGAGAATACTTCAAGAGAAGGATGAGGCTGTGGAAGAGGAGGAAGCTGCAGGAGGGTCGTCAAAGAGGGATAGGTGTCAGGATTAATGTTCTCCTGTACACACACACACACACACACACACACATACACGCTTACCATACTAGGAGGGGACTATCGGTCCATATTTCACAAGTGTGGCCTTGTATTTCTGGTCATTTTAAAAATACAAAAAAGTAATATCACATTTACTTGTGATGTCTTTAACCGTAATATTACTTCAAATGTGTGTTGTTGTTTTTTTTTTAAAGAAGTTTCTAAGAGTGGACTTGCAGGCTTGAGAGATGTCTACAGACATAAGAGGGGGCCGTTCATTCACTGCAGGGGGGGGGGGCATTTTTTCTAGATAATGGAGGATTTACCTTTTCCTTTTGGGTTTATTTGTATTAAGTATTAGCTGACATTTCTACATATTGTTTAGAGCAGTGCACTAAGTTCAAATTCAATTATATTCGTCACCTCTTATGGAGGCACGCGTACTCACAGCTGTGAGCCAGTGTTAAGGAAGCTTCTAAGAAACAGCTGATAACGATCATCCAGTGGGACTTCAGGGTGTTAAAGAAACAATCGATCCATCGGTTGTTCATTGAAATAGTGTGTTGTTGACTGACCAGCTGCTGACACCTATAAAACGTACAGAGCATTATCTGTTGGAAGACAGAAACAGAACATTTGTTAAAATATCAGTTTGTTTTGCTGGAAAGAATACCGATATAGTCAGCATGTTTGTTGATTTCTTAACGTCCCCACGGACTTTAATTAGAAGCAGCAGCTGATAATGGACCTTGAGATTGTTTTCTCAACTCCTCAACTGATTAAAAAATCCTGCAGATTAATATTCTCTCTATTGACGGACTAATTATCAGTCATTCCATTGATTCCATTTCTTTCAGCAGCGTACTGAATGTTTTCATTTAAGCTCATTATCAGTGTCGCAGATGTTGTTGACTCTGGCTGCACTTTGGATGCTGATCTGTTACTGCAGGTGTGTTTGTGGACCTCACTCAGAGTCAGGTTGTCGTCAACAAAACATCGAAATTTGTTACTTTCGCTTTCAATTTGCAGTTGTTTTCAAAGTTTCAGCATCACGTTTCCTATCCTTGTTTCTTCGACCACGGCCAACAGTAACTTACCACTCAGGGAAACCACAGTAAACAGACGCTCTCTGGTGAGATAACCAACGCTAACTAGAGACAGAGTCTTAATGCTGTGATCAAGATGCCACCTATCATTTTTTGGATTCTCCTTGTAAACATTTCCCCCTGAAATATCAAAAGTTTCCCCTGTTTAAAATGCCACCAAGAAAGCTTTCATCTGCAGCCCTTAGGCTTTTTATGAAATGTGTTAAACCCTTCACGAGAAGGATACTGACTTTTACATTTTTAAAAATACTCAAAAATCTCAGTCATTCTAACTTTAAACTCTAACAATTCAATATATCATGAAACTTAGCTTTCATGTGAAAGTGTGTGTAGTAAACAACCACATTAACATCCACTCACCTTGACAGTTTGCCCTCCTGATCTGAGTCCAGCGTTCTTACTTACTCTGCTCCGTCTTTGACTCGTCTCTCCATCACTCCACAACGTTCTGGTCTTTGTTGCTGGAACGTTCTGTATGTTTCTGTTCTCTTTTCCATGCAAGGTAGTGCAAGCTTTTAGCGCGATAAGCAGATAACTTAGGAATACAAAGTCGAAGTGTCAGAGACGTGAGAACACTTCTAATGGAAGCCACAGTTTCCCCTCCACGTTCAGAGTATGCAAAACAAGCGTATCACACACACACTGCCTGACCTTTGCCACTGTGAAGCAAAGGGCAAACTTCTTAGCTGAATAACATTACAGACTTTTATTTTCTTCCCCCCCTTATTCAGACAAAAAAAAAGAGTAATTTAACACTGGGTCCAAAGCTTGCTCCAGATTAAATGACTATAATAGAATATATGTTCATTATTCACCTGCAAGCTCAAACATTTGATCAATATTTTCTCACAGTGGATTCAAAAAGTAAACCTAATATACTTCACACCTGCAGCAAACAAATGACTTCAAGTTCCTCTAATGATAATAAAGCAAGAAAAGAGGAGAGGGATGATTTTAATATTCATAATGACAGCAGAGAGATGACTGAATAATTGATGAATAAGGAAATGAAAATCCCCACATTAGGTGCGATGAAAGCTGCTCATAAAAAAAAAAAAAAAAAAGGCTGTGGGCATAGTTGCAGTCGTCTCGATGCATGCTTATTAACCTGACAAACAAGAAAGATGCAGGGGCTAGTTTCCAATTTGTGAAGTAATGGATGGCTGGCTGCTCCAAACAGTGAAACAGGAGCCATTTGCAGGTTCTGGACTTCAGGATAAAAAAAAACCTCCTAATAAGGACATTTTAGAAAACATATATTTAATGAGATATTGGACACACAAAATATGTTCTCTGGATCCTTTTTAAAATTCATGAGGTTATACATTCAGTTGTATTGGTTGTATTCTTTATTCATGATTACGTGATTAAAATGCTCTATGAATGATTAATCAACCTTTTTGAATCAGTTTGATGGTGTTGGTCTTTGAACTTGATGGTAAAAGTTAGATAGTGAAAAGCCTTCTCCTTTCCAGAGGTCTTAAAGATATAATATGTGTCATTTTACTAATAATATTGCAGATATGAAACATATCCTACCTCTTTATATCGTTAAGTAATGACTTTCTGTAAATAGAGTGAAGTCAAACTCCCTCTGGGTTTGTTGTGTTTAGCTCTGTGTTCACACTAAAACACCTCAAAGAAATAGGAACCAAATAAACTCGGATCGCACTTTCCTTTTTGATAAATCTTATAGTTAGGGGGATGGTGCTGGTGTAGACCAGCTCCTAGTTATGCTGCTATAGGCTTAGACTACCAGGGGAACTAGCACCTTGAGCTTCTCTCTCTCTCTCTCTCTCTCTCTCTCTCTCTCTCTGTGCATATACAGTACATCATGTTACTGCATGTATCTATCTGTAAATCTCAGTCACTAACCACCTACTTTCCTGGGAGCTCTTGAGCTCTCTCAGGCTCCTCGAGATCGTTGGTTGACGGCCTGCCAGAACAGTTTTTTCTTACCACTGTAACTTTTGCTGCTTTACTAAAGTGCTCATGATGGATAGGCTGGGTCTTTGTAACATAGCAATAAGTAAGTAAGGTCTTTTACCTGCTTTTTGTAAAGTGTCTTGAGATAACACTTGTTATGAGTTGACGCTATACAAATAAAAATTGATTGATTGATTGATATCAGGCCGGCATTTTGTTTTGGTCTGAGGGATTTGTGCTGAAGTGCGACATGTGACATCTACCAGTTAGGAAGTTACATATTAAACCTCTGAGATGTTTCTTTCATCTTATTTTAACTGTAAGAATAGAACTACGTCCTGGACTACATCCTTTTTTTTGTGGTATACTTTGTGTCGTTAAACATACATACAAAAAAACTTTTTCTATGGAAGATTTCAGTGGATGTAAAAACATAATGGACCTGTTGTTTCAATCTGCTGACTTCAGGTTTGAGACAGAACAGTTGTCTGTGACAATAAACCAGTTTGATGATATTTAAAGAAAGTATTTTACCTACTGTTGCAAAAGAAAGAGATTAGTGATACTAGAGCTGCTTGAAAGTATCTTTGGATACGTTTGAGAAGTAAAGATTTTGTCAGGACTTCTAAATGACAAAGCATTACTAACATGACTTCAACATTAGTTACATCTTGATGTAATCAATCTGAGTCTGCCTGTTTGTGAGGAGATAATCCACTTTGTGAATGTCTGGTCTTTTATTATTTAACAGGCGATTGCTTTGTGAAGATTTCTTGACTCTGCAGATTCATGATCGAAAGTTTTAACAGACAAAAGATCAAAAAACACACATCGATAAGCCAGAGGACTCAAAGCAGTTAAGTGTTGGGCACTTTGTCTCGGCCCATTTTTGGACTCAGATTCTGTGTCAGTGGCGTCGCCTCAGAGCGCTCGTTGAGACCAAATCCAATTAGAGAGGAGGAAGTAGTCGCCCAAATCTCTCTGCTCTATGTGCTCTTATTTTCCTCCTGTGCCCTTGGGCTTCGATTTATTGAATAATTAATTGCCTCACTCACATTGGCACATACAGTAGTACACACACACACACACACACACACACACACATTCACTACATTTCCCTCGCCTTGTATGAGACTCCCTCACTGTGTGACTTTCCATTTAGCCGATGAGTTCTGCTTCGTTAATGCCTCTCGTTTATTCTGTGGCACTTTGACTGTAATTTGTTTCAGCTTCATCAGGAGTACAAACGGACGGGCCGGCTTCCTTTACCTAAACTGAGTGCACTTTATTATTACATGACTACATTTGATGTTTTGTAGAAGGAGAATTTATACAACTCTGTTCTCGGAAGAAGCTGAATTAATGCCAGTTTAAATGAAAAACTATGAAACATATTTAATGTGTGGATCTTTCATTTGTTTTTTTTTTTATGTAAAGAATGAATTAAAAGAGAGCGGTTCTTCAGCTCTTCCTTCTTTTCACTGCTGTCTTAACATTTCCCGTGTGTCTCCTCTCAGGGAGAAGATGCCGTTCCACCATGTGACGGCAGGCCTGCTCTACAAGGGGAACTACCTGAGCCGCTCGCTGTCTGAAAGTGACAGCGACGTGCTGGCCAGCATCTCTGTGGAGGAGCTCGACGGTAAGACTTTCGGATTTGGAAAATCTTTATTGTCCCCGAAGGGCAATTTGGTTTGCAACAGAGGTCCATACAGTCAATACATCCATAAAAAAAACAGCACAATGACATAAATACATACATATAAAACATAACTACCATGGATATCACCGTGATGGACGAGAGTGAGAGAAGGGACAAAAGTCAAAAAGTCCATAGAAGAAGTGTCCAGGCAACAATGCTTACAGATTATTTAAAAACCCAACAGCTGATGGGTTCTCTGTAAACCGTCTGGCAGATGTTCAGCTTTATGCTTAACGTCTGCTTAAAGTGATTCAGCTACACTGCTGCGTGCCTAAATAATCACTGTCAAACATTTAAGCACAAATGAAGATGATAAGCGTCTACTTTTACTGTAACTGTATCCTGTATTACACACTTGATGAGTTTGTTTGCAGATTGTGAATTTCTGAGGAAGGTTTCTGTTAAAGTCATGATCTAAACACGGTTTGGCTTCTGTGGAAAAAAAGAATGAAGTGTTCACAGCAGCCATCGTCAGTCTTTTTTGAGCAATTTTCATTTTAATTATTGTTAAAAAAAAAGATAATTGTAGCTGTTACCTTTACGCCCCTGATCAACTACAGCGATGTTTATTACTAGCCTTCACTGTTTGTTTACTGTGCACCACGGAGCATTGAGGTTCATAAAACATCTTGAGGCTCTAACTCATGATTGTTCTCTGTATGAGTTTGCTGGCCTGCATTGACCACTCATAGACAAAATCATTGGCATATCCTTATTTACAAGGCAACACTTGTAATCTCCTCACACTTATGTAATTGTATTCATTTGAAGTAACAATGCTCCTGCGGCTGGAAGATTTGTGTCTGAGGGAGCTGTTCTCTTTACTGTTCATCTTTTTCACAGTAGATTGAAGGTGTGTGAGGAAGAAGAAGCATCAGGTTATAGAAGCTTTGATTAATGGCTCTCTGATCTGTGATCCAGGATATGTTCACCTGTGTTTCATAAAAATGTTTACATGTGTTGTGTGTCTGTACGTTCTTAACCTCAATGAGGCTTTTCTGGTTACATAAACATTAAACTTGGAAAGTAGAGCTGCGTACAAATTGTTTAAACTCACTGCAGCTCTGTTTTGTTCCGCTTCATGCCAGCTTTCAGAGGATGCAGAGCCAAAACTAAAGCAGTCACCTAAAGTAAAAAAAACAAAACATCTGGCTGCAGTAGAAACAAAACATCGGAATTTGGTATTTTAGAGTATGTCTTGTCTATGGGATGCAATAAAGTGTAAACAAACATATTGAGGCCAGCTTGAAGCTGATCCAGTCGTGTGACTTTAGGGCGGATCAGCTGGTCACACTGTGGGAGCCGCTGCGTTAAAACGACTATTTTGGGAAACAAGCCTGTACACACTGCGGATTCCCAAACACATATGGAGCTCTGATTTTCAGAAGCAGCAAATGAACAGATCCACAAATGATGTAGTGTACCACAGCGGCAATATAATAAGGAAAGGTGCTGATCAAAGCAATCCCATCAGTTTTATAGTAAGTAAAGCTTTAGACAAGACAATATGATGCAACAAAACCTGCAACATCCTCCTCATTTAAACCAACAATTCACAGTAATGCGTCATTCAATGCATGGCTTATCTCAGCGGGAGCATACACGTCGGCTGGCTCCTCTCTGTGGCTTCGTGTCCCTGCTGTAACTGAGGCTGTGTTCATGAAGCCTTTGTTACGCAGTCCGTCTGAGAGTAATCACCCGGGCCTGTGGAACACAAACCTGATCAATTGCAGTCTGCCCGAGTCAGCAGTGGCAGCCTCACAGGTAGCAAACAAACAAGACTCCTCCACACCTCCAAAATATTAATCCACAGATGCAACATTAAGCGGCCGCCCGGCAAATTATTGCCACAGCAAGGTAATATCCAGAAACTCTGCCAGGGTGGAGTTTTAATATGCATGGCCTCTGCAGCGAATGCATAAATCTCTCGTTCCTGTTCATTGCGAGGTCATTTAGCTTGGTGAGTAAGAAACAACTTGTTTGTAGAGGTTCATCCCGGGGTCAAGTAAACACTGGGAAACTGTCGCCTATCAGCAACACAATGACGCTATCAGTCAGACTCATGACGTGCACTGTGAAGTCGAGTTGGTGCTGTTATCAGACTCACATGTTTACGTCTATTTTAATGGTCCAGTTTAGAACAAAGACACTATCAGTGCTGGTGTCACAGCGTGCTCGAAGGATCTGGCTTTCTGAAATTTAAATGAACCAAATCAAATCATTTTTACATGATAGCAGTAACAACGTTTTTTTTATAGCATCAAAAAGACCTTCCAATCCAAATCTTCTCGGTGCCAAACTCAAACATTTTCTGTAATTGACGCAGATTTCTCTTTTCAGTCTCTGATGGTGATTTCAACTGAAGATAAATGATCGAGAATTTAGTACAAGAATTAAAAGGATCTTCCTCACTTCATTTTTTAACAATTTTATCATCAAAGTTAAACTGGAATTTGTTTGTGATAGTAAACTGCAATCATCTCTTGGCAGTGGAAAGGACTGCGCCTTTTCTTTCAGCTGGAGTCCATGGCATCATCACTGTATGTTTCCTGTCAGAGACCAACAAATCACAGCAACTGTTGCACCAAAACCAGAAAATAATGTACCTCAATGTTTCATTATTACACATTAAAGCTGCAAATCTCCTTTTTCATACACCAGGATTTTGACATATACTTACTTATAAACAGATTTGCAAGTTTTGCAAACTTCTATATAGACAGTCAAAAAACATTTTTTAAATGGTTTGATTTTTAAAGGTGACATATTATCCCCATTCTCCACCTTTTCAAACAGTCCCCCTGTGGTCTAAATGAAACATCTGTGCTGTGCTTTGCTCAAAATATAACATGAATCAAGCAGCAGAGGAGGTTTGTGACCCTGTATAAACCAGCTCTCTCAGAACGCTCCGTTTTGGTGTGTGTGTCTCTTTAAATGCAACGAGCCCCCCCCCTGAGTTTTCCCCGTAGACATCACTCCTCTGTAGCGAGAATAAAAATGGTGGACCTGTCCAGAAGTTTTGCACTATTCTTGGGCTGGAGTCCATGGGTGGAGATACCAGGGGAGGCGAGGGGATTTTTTTTTTACCAGAATCTCACTGTGACATCACAGGAGAGCACATTTAAAACGGAGGATTTTTCTCTGTGTTGTAAGACTTATGCAGACCACAAACAAAGGACTGGATTTTTCATGATATGCCTCCTTTAAGTATTTTAATAGCATTCTGGTTACTGCATCCATAGCTAATCTGAATTCTGTGTGAACCAAAAAACAAGTGGAAACATCGTTGCTAGGGTACAGGTGATTATTTTCAGGAGTGTCACATTAATGAAAGCTTTGGGAGGCGTATGTCTGAGCAGCCTGAGTATCATCATTATTCGAAGCAGACAGTCTGGCACAACAAGAGGACACAGAAGGTTTTCATCAGACACCAAAACACATGGCCTTACCTGCCTCTCATCTTTTTTCAAGCGTCATTTAAAACTTAAATGTGTCTCCAGACGTCTCCATCTCCTTTTGCGCAGCTTCCTCCACATGTCAACACTTCTGCTTCACATAATTTGAAGAAGCAATGTTTGTCCCGGCCATTAGGAAGCTCACAACACCTGGACCATCTTTCACACAGCTGGAGGTGTGGAATCACTCAGCTGGAGTGCTATATATTTTTCCACGAATGTCTCCTCTCTCAGGAGATGCTGCTGCTGTCCATCGAGATTTATCAAGAGGCCATCAAGTCACTGTAAAGATAACGTCAGGGATTCTGTTTCAGTCTCAGCAGGTTGTTATTCTCCAGCGACTCCGGAGCAAAAATTGTGGCCCTGATTTACTTTTTTTGTGGAGGTTGAAATTATAGTCAAGGTAACAAGATTGACGGCTCCTTTGCCTCACAGCCACTCAGGCCACTTAACAGAATTCTTCATGAGCACACTGAAGACAAAAACAAGCGATTTTCCCCGACCTGTGTGTCATAGTAGGTCGTGCTGACCGTAGCCTTGAATATGTAATTACTTCACAGGGACAAACAAAGGAGAGGGAAGATTACATGAAACACTCAGTGGAGGATTTTTAAATGTCACCTGAAGGCTTTGGGGTTGATATTTAATTATTTGAAACACAGTTCACCAGATGTCCCATTGATTTTCAGTCAACGCCTGAATATGAACACACGACCTGCAAACCCTGAGGCAGATCGTATACTCTGATCTTTGATTCTGTGAGAGGTGACAACCAGGAGCACTGCTGTCAATCAGCTTAAGACTTTGAAGGCTTTGTCATTTTAAAAAAAGGACTTTACATCCAGAGGTGTTTTCTTGCTTTTGACTCAACAATAATATCCTCGTCCAAAAATACAACAAGCACAACAGCTCACATTTTAAATGTCATATCTATCATTTATTCATCTTCCAACATGCTTATTGCTTTTTCAACCACTCCCTTCATTGTTTTGCTCCAGCTGTGTAGGCTACTCATTACATTTGCTTCACGAACATGAGAGCATCCTTTGTGCCCTCCGAGAGCAATTTGTACACTTCTTGCAGTTCAGTTGTTAATTTCGGAGCAGACCATTTTTTTGTCCCGTTCATTACCATATTTATGCAAATAGACTTTTACAGTGTGGTGCAGGCAAGGTGTGCAGACGAGAGCAGCAGACTCACTGACTCCATGGATGAATGTGAGGACAAACTAACGGTTTAAAAATCACTATTTATTCAAGTCTAATGGGACTTTTTTTTTATCTACCGCACCAACTTACAGGAAGTTGAACTGAACTGAGCACTACACCTATGAATAACTTTTGACGAGATTAAAATCCTGACATGTTGTTCCTGAGAGAGGCTGAACTGCAGGCCAAGAGCTGCTCCATGCCAGATAATCTTTGGTTACAGTGCTGCATTTAGGGACACAAAGTTTCTTTGACTTTTATGTAAATGAAATGTTAAATACATTTTCTATGACCTCAGGCATGCATCAGTAGACAGACAGAATGTAAATGAATTAAACATCCAGAACAGAAGGGAGCTGTACTGAAATCTAACTTTTCCCGCACCTTGTTTCCTAACTTTAATGAACATGAATGAATGAAAGTTCTTTCCGGTGTTATTTCCAGACCATGAGCTGCACACGCTGGGATAGCTGTTCACTGGGTTGTTTTTGTTCCAGTCTAGTACTAACAGCTGTGCTGCTGACTATTTGACAGAGTGTAGTAGCATTGACTTCACTGCATCACATCTGGATCCAAATTGGTAGTTCAGGGGATGTTCTGGTAGACTTAAAAATAAAAAAGAAGACGAAGAATGGAAGAAGTCCTGGAGACAGGCTTTCCCGCTTAGACTAAAATAGGCTTTTATATTAAAGGTTTAGTGAAAGGGCAGCAAAAGAAATCCTCCGAGTCGGCTCTCAGGCTTTCACGAAACAAGCTGAGCTGAAGCAGGCGGCAGCAGGCCTGTGGGGAGGTTTGTGCCTGCTCAGCCCACCAGCACAGAGATCTCCTTTAAGTACAGAAGAAGGTGGAGGAGACGCGGGGAGGCTGACGGGAGGCTGCATTAAGAAACTTCTTTCTAACTCCATGGGTGTAAAAAAAAAAAAAAAAAAGCAGTTCCCTTCTTGACAGGTTTGTTGCCTCCTTTTTTTTAGACTCTTCGTCTCCAAAGTTAGCAGGTGTCTGAAAGACTTTCTACCAGACTGGTACTGGTAGTGAAGCTGGTGCACAGGAACCAGATGTCCTGTATGTGCAGCTCACTGCCTGCAGAGCTCAGACTGATAATCACACATACAGTAAACAGAACTTTGTGGAGCTGTCCGAGGTGCTGATTGTGTTTCCCCCCCCCTTTTAATCCCACTGGGAGTTCAAACACGTAAAGTCATAGATAAACTGGTTCCAGGAGATCTTTGCTCTGCTTTAACTTGGTCATGTTGGACCACCGTCTGGTGTTTAGTCTAAACAAGCCGAGCCCAGACAGCTGCAGAAGACTGTAGCTGCTCTTTGCACAGAGCTGTAGATACAGACTGCTGTTGATGTACGATCAGTCACACATTCTGTCTCAAGGTCAAGGTTTTGCACATAAAGCAGACTTTGAGTTAAATCACTGAGCACTGTAGGAGAATCTTCAGAATGGAGGTGTCTTCATGCAGAGAATCATTTAGCTGTTGATTCTCCTTGGCCAAGCTTCATGACATGTTTCAGACATCATCCTCTCCTGGTCATCTTCCTTTAAATGCCGAGTTATCTTTAAAAAATGTGTCAACAAATTGGCATAATGAAGAGGATTGGAACCTCATCTAATATCTCTAAATGACTCTAATCTCTGAGTCGGATTGCAGCTGAATATTTCCCATGTACCACCTGTCTTGATGGTTATGGAGCATTCACATGAAACAGACTCATTTGAATATATAAAGCCCTTTCTCCATGTTTTGTTTCAACAAGCTCCAGACACAATCAAGTATTCCATAAGGGCCTGAGTCACTGTCAGATTCATTCATGACATGCTTATGTTTATGCAGAGAAAATAATCTGTCTACCTTTGATGTTTGCAGCATTTGTGTGTGTTTGTGTGTGTGTGCATCCAGGAAAATATCCTCATTGTAACAATGCAAAGCCATAAAAAAAGCAGTTTTCGCTTTGTAACAAACGATGATGGTGCTTTATTTGCTCAGGATCAGCTGTTTGTAGAAGCAGTAATGTGTTGTTTGGATTCAGGTCAGAGACTGTGTCCTCTTGTTATCTACTGTAGGTGCTCAGCGCTGTCAAAACACATTGATGATGTCATTTATTATTTACGCTCCATCTACCTTTTTTGTTGTTCCAAATCATTTGCCGGCAGACTGCTTCACAGCGGCAGCCGTGCAGGCGATAATTAGATGATTGATGAGCTCATTCCTTAACGACTGGTTCTTTGGTTCAGTCAGTAAGAAAAAGCAGTTTGAGAATTTGTTCCCTGGTAAATATTGAAGTGAGACAGTCAATAGCAATAAAGCCCCACTCAGTTCCAATGGATTATTTTTCGTTTTGTGCCAAAATGATTTGATATCGTCTTTTCTAACTTTGTTCCGCACTGTTTTCATGTATTTATGAAAGCACAACAGACTCTTGCTATCTGTCTAAGATCTAGTTTCATGAAGTATTACACATTTTAAAATTCTAGAGTACATCTATGCATAGATTTTTTAAAGTTATTCTCACAGCTGGATCCAAAAACCTGCAGAAAATCCAGTGTTCTACTTCTACTTGATATGTTTCTCAAAAGACTAACACTCTGCTTTGTTATGCTTTCTGGAGAGGGAAGGGTTAAACCATCTATTCCACTTTCCAGTCTGAAATTATTCAGCGCTCAACAGTGTGCTCATGCATGTCATGCAGTCATAGCGTTCTTTAAAGAAGTGACATTCCAGCTCTATTTAAAGGCACCAGATGCCTGTCAGTCTCTCTCTTTCCTGCTATACACCCTCTGCTGTCTGTACGCATGTTTATGAAATGTGCCTTTATTAAAGCACAGTGGAGTCTGCTGACTCCTTCCACTGACGACTTGATCGCATGTCGAGCAGCCAGCGAACCAGCTGCTGACTCAACAGTGCACAAGTCAGGTGTATTTGTCTCCGCTTTGAGAATGTCTTAGCCTGCGTCACCTGTCTGCACATCTGTGCATGTGTGTCCTCGTGCACAGACAGACAGAGCCACAGAACTGTTCTCCTGCTAAGTATACTTGAGTCATCTTTTTCTGTGTCATTTGTGTCTGCACATAGAAACATGTTGCTGTGTTAGTGTTTGAGATTTATTTTACTAAAGTCTCACTCACACTCGTTGGTTATCAATATCCAAAATGAATGTGACATCAAATTTGTAGAAGATTATTGACAGACAGTTTTCTGTTCTTCAATGCTGAAGCATGGATCACCAATACAGAGAAAAATACTGAACGCTATGTTGCCATGGGAACAAAACCAATATGAAATAGACAACTCACTCCAGATCACAATGTGTAAAGAGTCAGAGTTGCGTTTATGTGAAAAAATCAAATAACACCTCCTTGCATTACCTGCATCTCAACTGTATTTCTGAGCATCATGTGTGTTTTAACAAATAGGTCATTTCTGTAGCTCTATACAAGATGTTTTATTATGGCCAAGTTTGCATTTTGAGTTTCTAAGACTTGCAGAATTTCTCATGAGTATTTATCAATAGAAAAAACAAAAAAAGACCCACAAGAAGATAAATCTGACGGATCACAGGATATCCAACAGGAGAGATTAGTCACTGTATGTTTTAGTTCATTAAATTTTTTCTTCTTCCTTAAGTCTCTTGTAATAAAAGTAGAAAAGTAAAGTGTGTGTGAGACCTGCTCCCTCTGCCTTGTAGATAAACAAATCTGTTTTTAAAAGATGTCTCATCCCACTCTGAAACCTCCAGCAGAACCTTATGATGAAATAAATAAGCTGCCATTAAACTGACTCTGTGATGACTAAAACCATGTGTTCAGACATGATGCACCTGTTAGCAGTGCAGAGCTGGAGTGGGTATGCACAGCAGCAGCATCAGTGAGAGTGATATTATGCAAACACTTAAGAGATTAAAGGAAACATGTTGTATTCTGAAGGTCAAAGTTTTCATTCTGGGGAAGGACAGATGTTCCTAGGGAAACCTAAAATGTTCTATAAACGATACTTGGATGATTAACAAAATATGAGTAAACAGTAACATGAAATCTTAAAGAAAAGACTAAAGCTGCAATTGTGAAGTAAAAAAAAATAAGGTCTGAGAGGACGGCGGCTGTGACAGCAGGTGAGGAAAATGAATCGATGGGCGGGTTTGATCTTGTTATCTTGAGGCAGTGATGCAAGACCAATTGCCTTACGGGCAGGCTGAAGCTGGGTCAGACTGGAGGACAGGGAGGGAGAGAAAGGTGTTAAAACAATGACGAGCAACGGGGACGGGTTAAAGTCGTGAGCGGTGTACTGCTGCCTCTAAACAAATGCCAAAAAAATGTACGAGACAGTGTGCGGAAACGATGAGAGGGATACTTGGCAAACTAATAAACACAGTGCTTCAAATGATAATGCATCAGTGTTTTGTGTTTCTGCAACACGCAGGAGGAGTGAGCATTGTTAGCTGAGTGTTTTTTCTTTTTTCTTTTTGTCTTGGCAGAGATCCGGGAGGCGTTTAAGGTCCTGGATCGGGACGGGAACGGGTTCATTTCCAAGCAGGAGCTCGGTATGGCCATGCGCTCTCTGGGTTACATGCCCAGTGAGGTGGAGCTGGCCATCATCATGCAGAGACTAGACATGGATGGTGAGTTACATGAACACACACACTTAACAGGTGTTAACATGTACTGTGTGATACAGGATGGCTTCAAGTTATACATCATGACATAAAAAACACTTTTCCTTCCTGTAAAAAATGTGGACACCATGAGGTTTATGGTCTCATCAAGAAGCAACTTCACAAACCTCGTGCATACATCGACGTTCTGCTGTCTTGCCGTCTTAGATGCACAGATTACACATCCCTCTGTGTCATGCATAAAACATTCATTCCTGCATGCTTCAGAGTGCACTTCAAACCGAAACACTCAGTTTCCTTTAGACACATGAGAACCAAAGTGAAATTGATGCTGGGAGAGAACGACATAAGTTATTCAATATTTTAGATTAAGAAAAAGATGAAAGATGTACATGACATGCTTTTTTTAGAATCACCTATATTTTAATAATGGTTATCAAAATATGACTTTACTTTGTCAATGCATTGCTGCACTAGCTGAATCTTTTTGGGAAATGCATCACATAAAGGTTGTAAAACAATACAAGCATTACTGATCTGAATCAGCTACGCTTTATTTCTGCAGCATCATCCTCACCGGTGACCTTTTGACCTTTTGTCCTTGAAGAAAAAAAAATCTCCTTGAAGAAAGAAAAAAAAACAAGCAATCCCTCTTCTTACAGGCAGCATTTGTGCAGAGCCAGTGTAAAGGCAGAGCCGCCTGAATTAACTGCGATTGACATTTTATAAAGGGAAAGACGCTTAAAATTGCATAAGGCAGGGATTGAAAAATGCAATATGCAAATGTCACCTCACTGGGAAAATATTCAAATTCTTTATGCTGCTATCTCAGCCTTTGATAAGTGCTTTCAGTTCCACTGTGGAGAGAGAAACACTGTAAATGTTCAAGGCTGAATATTAAAGTTTAAGAAGTTAGACTGCCTTTTATTCCTTTTCTGACTCATCGGCTCCACGATCTCAGGAGAGCGTCGCTGCTTTGTGCCTCGGGGGTTGGATCTCGTTGCAACGTCTGCTGCCACTTGAAGAAGCAGGCGAGGCTGATGAAGGTCACTGCAGCTTTTGTCTCTGGAAGTCTGCAAAGTGTTAAGCTGTTTACTTATTTATCCTCCCGGTTCTTATTGTTCTTTCTGCCTCTGCATATTGGATCTACATTTGTTGGTGTTGTTGTTTGGAAAACCTCTTTCCCATGAAATGACCCCAGGTCAACTTGTTTGTATTGATCGATGTCATATTAGCAAAACGCTGTGGATTAACTCCATTTAGGCGTAATTCAATCTGAGGACTGGCTCAGATTCAACTCTGGCTGAATTAGAGTTTGGCACATTAACAAACCCGAGAGCTGTGTCTTTGTTTTTTGTTAAAGTGCCAAAATCCAATTCTATAAAAACAGCTCACTCAGATGTGATCCAACACGTCCTGATTTACATATAAAGCAAATTCTTAATTTCTCAAAGGCTTTCAGGTGCAAAGATTTGTCATTTCACTTGATAGGGAATTAAAAAGAGACAGAGGTACAAAAAAGTAACTTAGAAGTAGAGCCCGACTGTTAAGAGCTTTCAGAGACTAATACAAGATAGAAACTAATACAAAATGTACCTTTTCTCTGCTGAGCAGGAGGATTATTTACACTCTTAAGCTAAGATAAGCTTTACATTTGGTACAGCACAGTCCCCAAAGTAAATACAATATACTTTATGTACAATATCAAAACTTTGGTGATGCACCATAAACTAAATGGACAGTCTGCCGCAGCCTCCTTACGTTGGACAAGTGTGAAGCCAAAATACCTCCGTGTCAGATTCTGACATGTGGAACCAGAGTCTGTGCGGTAGTGATCAGCTGGAAGAGCCACACTATTGATGTCTCACTTCCACTAACGTTTAACTTTTGTATAAAACAGTTTGAAGCAGACACTCGCTCATAGGAGTTCAATGACTCTTGTGTCACGTTTCCTTGTGCTGTTTCTGCTCTGCTGTCTGAACCTAATGCACAGAACGCCAAGGAGCCTCATTTGTCAATATCAAATACCATCATCAAATAAGTAAGACACTTCTCAGAATAAATGTGACATGGACACAAAATGTTCATGACTAAAGTGGTTTTGAGAGAACTGTATCTGACATGCATTTTGATTTTATGGTTTGATCAATCTCCCATCTGTTAACTTAGGTCTAGTTTATGATGCACACCGCAGCCAGTCAGTGAACTCTAAATCTTTTGGCTTCACTCTGAGGCACACAAATTGTGTGATTCCAACCATGTAAACCATTTCAAGTTCCAACCAATCCAGCCGCCACCAGCAGCTACCCGTTTGTCAGACCATTCAAATAAAATAAACACGTTCTTCTGATTCATTTTTCTTAGCGTCTGAAAGTCTTCTGTACACTTCTGTTCATGACACTCCAACAACAAAGGTCCTGCTGCATCTTAGCGGGTCCCCATGATTCAAATCCAGAGAGTAAATCCAAACACATTACATCCTGGAGATCCACGGATTGATTCAAAATATCTGCCCCTGCTCCAACAGTATTCTCTGTACTAATTAATGTACTCTCTGACCTTTGGATTAACTCCTCATTTGACCAATCAGGACCTTCGATTCTAGGCTACTATAGCCAATGAGAGCCTGAGTAGAAACGGGAATGTACCCTGATTTAGCAAAAGGGAATTTAAGTAACAAAAAATAAGTTATTGGAAACCAAATTTACAAGAAGTTCAATGTTTAAACAACCTTTTTTTCAAATGTACTTCCAGCTCTGGCATAATTCATCAGTACATTTTAAAAAGGTTTACTGTAGTAACACAAAATGTAGAGCGTATCCACCACTTAGATGTGAACTCTTCTCACTTCTTTCCACACAGAAACATGGCTGTAAAAAAAAAAATAATAATAATAAAAATAGCTCACACTGATTAAAAGAAATGTGTTTGAGAACATTGTGAGATCAGGTCTTCATAATGTTCTGTTAAATCGACAAATAGAAGTGTGAAACATCCTGCCTGTTGTCTTTTTTTTTTTTGTTTTTACAGTACAGATTGTGAAATGATCTTCTCATATGCATGCACGTTGACACAATGACAGAGAGCTTGGTGATGAGAGGGACACTGCACAGAGGAGAGGAGGAGGAGGAGGAGCATTAGCAGGTAGTGATTGTATCTCTGCCAAGTGGGCAGCTGAGGATAAGATCCTCTGTCATAAGCATCGATTGGCGTCCAGCAGCCAATCCACCTGATATCCAGAAGAGACTGACAGGTTATCTGCTCTGCTCAGCTCTGCCAATCCTTGAGATTGTTATTGAGCTCTGCATGTCCTTCATAGAGAGGTGTGACTACACGTCTTTGTTCCAGATCACAGCACTGCACCAGCCTTTGTTTCTTCAGTGTACATCCTCCTTCTCTCAGTGCTGATGCCCTTGATGTCTTGTTTTCAACACACTACAACTTTATCTTTACGCTTCTATCTTTGCATGTCTTAAAATACTTCCACATACAAACATCCAGTTCATTTCCCCCTATTGTTTATTCTGACTTCTCTGTAAAGGCAGCAGGATTTTGCATCATTCTTCAATAATTAATCGCAGCATTTTCAAGCTGAGAGAGGAAGCTTGCTCGTGACAGGAAGAGACCGGTCAAACTCAGGTGGCTCGGAGTCTGACGGGCACAGAAAGTGACTCAGTGAGTTTATGCATAGAGTCGATCTGTCACAAACTGCAGAGACATCAAAACCAGGCTGACATGCAATCCTGATGAGTTAAAAAGGGTTTTTAAAGTGAGCTTAAAAAAGCCAAAGTCCACCCGATGTGGAAGGTTGTTTTTGTTTTAAAGTTTGAATTGTTTAAGACTTCAGTGTATGAGTTTTAGCTGGCATGTTTTAAAACTAATCAGCAAACCAGTTCAGTTATGTCACCTGGTAGAACCTGCATCATTGATTTCTGTATTTAGCTAAACAAACGTCATATTTTTATTCCAAATGTCAATGTTTCTTCCTCCCGGGAACTTAATGGACACACACAGCAAACACCTGATTTTAAATGTGACAGAGCATGGGGAAACTTCACCAAGTAACTATGGATAGAAACCATCCAACACATCTTGATCTAGTAAACACACAGATTATGAATTTAAAATATAGTTATATAACTCTTTGAAATTATGAAATACAGTAGATTAAGTTTTAGGGCCTGTAAAATGATTTTTAAATATGCTTCAATTTCCTGCTTCTTAGACTGGCTAATGACTAATAAGTAATATGAATTCATCTTAGTGTTTTGACCTTTTGAGTAAATCACTGCTACACATCCAGCAGACACACAGCCACAAGAGCACACAGCTGCAGTTAGGTTTCTGCTCACCTGAAGTTCATTATTTCCACTTTTTAAATCTCCAGCTTTGTCTTCACAAACTTGGGAGAAAAATATTGCAAGTACGTTTTTTTGCATTTCATTCTGACGCTCTCTTCAACATCTACTGTCCTTTCTTGTTGGTGTGCTGTTCTGTGTTAGGTTGATGTTGCACATTTGGACCAAAAAAAGAGACTTCCAGGCTGGCAGGAGTTTTATAATAAACATTTATCATATTATTTTATCAGGAAAACTTTGCTCCATACAGCTCCCTGCTGCTGGAACCATAGTTAGCGTGACCTTTAGGGCTGAATGTTAAAAACTCTTAAAGACCTCTCTTGCCTTAATTCAGCACATGTGCACTTGTTGAAGCTTTAAATAACTCACTTGTGTTCAGTGACTTGTTCTTAGTACTCACACTGTGACACTTGCTGTTTTACCTTGAACCCGTTAGCCTAGACCACCTTTATCTCCCCCGTCAACCAGCTATCCAGCTGTCTTGGCAATCCTCTGATCTCGGTGCTGCTCCATCTGGCCCATAGCGATGCATCTGCCCTGCTGAATATGCAGGAGCTGTCAGTGACATTAACCATTACAGTGGCAGCATGTACTCACAGTCTCCACGGTCACAACAGGAGAGGGGCTGCAGGATGGGCCAGATTGTGTGGTCCTGCATCACTAAATTCACACTTTTTGTTCACACATCTAATTCCAATAAGTGTCTCAGCCTATAACAAACAGTAGGAGCTGTCAGTGTCGATTTGATTCATCCAAACTTAGTCTAGAAAACAAGACAAACTCTGCGGGGGGGGAGACAAAGAAGCCTCACAGGGATTATGAAAACTTTCATCTCAAAAAAAAAGAAAGATTCAATGTGAAGCCATGATCTGTTGCTTTGGATGTGTTTGTTGCCGTCTGCAGAGTTTTGATGATTTGTTTTGGCAGCAGCTTCAACGACTAGCAGGCTCCCGGATCAGTAGTGTTGGAATCAAGCAGCAGGAAGTCCATGTTGTGAGCGATTCAAATGCGGTTAACTTTGATCCGCTTCATATCCAGTATTACAGAGCTTGTCAGGGCTCAATGTTTTAACTACCTGTTGGCTCAGACGTAAATTGGGTATTGAACTGTGTGATTTGAAGCGTGCTGATATAGGATTAGAACAACAAAGACATAAACAGCTTCCATATTTCCATTTGAGTCCACTCACAGGGCTTAATAACTGAGTTCCTACAAAAACTGCAGAGAGATAAAAATGCAGAAACTTTTTTTCCTGCCCAGCAGGCTTCACTAATGTCCGTGCTGTACACCTGTTCAATCCAGAAAAGTTAATTTTCTTTACCTCCTCTTCTCCTCAGTTCTCTTTTTATGCACTTACACACAACAAGCTGCAGGTTGTGAGTGCTCAGGGACACATCAGCTGTAGTTGTTGAGGACAGGAACATCATCTGTCATTCACTCTCCCTGGTAACACTTTATATTAAGGTGCTTGTAATAAGGTAATAAGTCACTTATAAGACACTTATAGGCTCTTATTAGAAACATACTAACACTTAATATACTGTCATAAACATTAATAAGATGTTTATTAACATTAATAAGACTTGATGAGTGTTAATTAAACTATAAATTAATTTATAATTGGCTTGTAAAATATAATTAACACAGAAACTTGTTTATATACCACTTATCAACGTTCATAAGATGTTAATGAACATTGATAAGACTTTATTAGGTTCATATTAATGTCTTCTAAAATTAATAAATACTTTATTATGCACTTATTTACAGTTAATAAAGCTAATTAGAAATGCATTTATAGTTCAATTAACACTCATAAAGTCTTATTAATGTTAATAAGCATCTTATTAATGTTTATGATGGTATATAAAGTGTTAATAAGTTTCTAATAAGCCTTATAAGACATATTAAATGTGTTAATTATGCCTATATTAACACTTCTATAGTCCTATTTGTGTTAATAAGAATCCAATAAGGTCTTATAAGTGACTGTTATTAATGCTTATTACAAGCACCTTAATATAAAGTGTTACCCTCTCCCTCTCCTCTCACTCTAAACAGTGACGGGGAACCAACAAGTCTGTGTTAATGTTGTCTGAATCATTTCCCCGGGTGGTGTTAAGACTAATAACGTGAGAGAAGAGAGCTGGACTTACGCTCACAGCCAACACAATCAAGAAACAGGAGAGAGGTTCACTTTCCTTTGCGGCTTGGAGAACACAGAAGAGCCGTTCTTCAGACTGTCAGGTGGATCTGATGTGTTAATTACAGGCTTTCTCTAATCCTACTTTTTTCAAATGGTTTCAGGTGATGGACAGGTTGATTTCAACGAGTTCATGACGATCCTCGGACCCAAACTGCTGTCGTCTGAAACCAGAGAAGGATTCCTGGGCAGCACAATAGATACCATCTTCTGGCAGGTAAAGCTGTTTTCTTTAACTCGTCTCTTCTGTTGACTTTGCAGAGTCTGAGATATCGTTGGATCTAGAAAATCAAGAAACAGAAACTTTATTTCTCGTTAAGATTTATCAACGCAAAGAAGAACAAGATAAGAATAATTTCCATTCTTTATCCCTGAAGTTATTTATATATATGAAAAAAAACAAGATAAAGCTTTTTTTATATATCAGGTGTGGTTCAGATAAGAGGACTTTTGTCAGCTTTAGTGTAAACTCAGCTCAGCAAACTAACTCTCTGTTCCTGCACCAGATGAAAATTTACAGTTTCAAGAAATAAGGCAACTCTTCAGAGCACAGTAAATGTACTGTGCATAAATTAAGTTTTTTACGAGATGCCACCTTAAACAGACATCTATCATCTCTGGCTGGTTAACATCATGCATATTTCAGTTTTATTTGAGAAGCAGCTTTAATGCTGAGCCATCAGTGTGCTCCTCTTTTCACCTTTTCAGGTTCAAACTCTGATCACAAAGCAAACACGACAAATACTGTCGTGCTTCATCAAACAGAAGAACAAACATGAAGAAGCAGCAGGAGCTGTATAACCATAAAAAGGCATTTATACAAGACAGCCAACAAAACATCCATCCTTCCATCCATCCATTTTCTTCCACTTATCCGAGACCGGGTCGTGGTGTCTCATAATGTTCCAGGTTAAGTACTACTTTCATAGACCCCTGACTCAGATCTTTTATACTGCTGCAACAGGTTTTTTGTCTCATAAACCAGTTAGTTCTCCATCCGTGTGTCGATGCATTTAGCAACTAAAAAGGTGCACATTTATCAGATTTAAATGTTGCTGAAGCAGGAACTTTGTGCAAATTTTAGGTTAGGTGTTCAAAGACGGACAAAAACTGACAGTTTTCTCTTTTCCAATGTTTCTGTTCTCTTTGAAGGGTTAGTGCAATGTCTAATATACAGCAACGAGTTTTAACGTGACTGATGAGGGTAATATTCGACTCTGACAGATGTGTCTTTGGAGAGCCTTGAAGGGCTTTGAGAACCAGGAGAGACTCTGTGACAAAGAAGTCTGTGGAAAAGAAACACATGAGAATATGTCAGTGTGGTGGGGAAGCAGAGTGACTTTGAGTGTTTGTGACAGAGAGTGATGAATGTGCAGACAATAGAGCATGGATGGGAATGATGACAAACGGAGCAGGTGCGAGGGAAAGGACAGGACATTTGGCGCTGATAGTAACACTTGGCGAGCCCGTTCCTCTTGATGTAATCATGGTCTGACCTGGGGCTCTTTCTCTGGGGCGGGAGCTTGTGGTTTTTCACCGTGAGGACACAAGTCTTTGGAGGTAAGAGTGCAATCTGGGCGAATGTGCTGCCAGCCCCATTTGGCTGCTTCATTGACCTTGGCGTGTTCTTGGAGGCTCTTGGAGAGTTTTCCTTACCTGTCCAAGTTAGATTGGTGGTTGTGGGCTGAGGTTTGCTACGTTTACACTTACCTTCTCACAATTCTTTTTTCTGATGAATTCAGGCCTCGAAGCTAGAATAACTGAGTACCTCATCTGATGTGTGGAACATATTCAGAGAGAGAGAAATGTACCAGAACTTGATTTATCATGATTACTTCTCCTCGTGCCTCGGGAGGATTAGCTACTAGAAGGATTACAGTTTTTTTTTTTTTCTCAGTTTGTTAATGGATTGTGAAATGCATGACTCAGCATCTTTGTTTTTGTCACTTGAACTGTTAAAATATTTACTTTAATGTGTTTCTAAGCTTTAGACTGCTGGAATACACGCAGCATTTGTCTTTACAAATGTCTTGTATACGCTGTAATAAAAGGAGCTCAACCATCATCACAAAGAAATGTTGATAAAACATGACATGTGTGCTGCACAACAGAACAGACATCTAACTGTTGTGTGACACAAGAAGAATGGAAATTCTCTTTGCAGTGCACACATACAGTACATGAGGAAAAATAACACTATCTGCTAAAAAGCCCACCAACAGTTCAGCAAACACTGAATAAACCATCAACCTGGCCAACTCATGCTGCTGGCTCATTATGTCTCAAATTCAGGGGAAAAAAAAGCTGGACTCACAATCGACACAGCTTAGATGCTTTTAGCACAATCTTCCCTTTGTGATGTCTACAGAAGAATATAAAGGATTAGGTTTTCCTTTTTTGTTTCAAACATAAAAGGCATTAAATAAAATCTTAACATTTGCACAACTCAGTCTGACATACTTGGTAAAAATCTAAAAACAGCCGTTCACCTCCTGACTGGAAAGGAATAGAGGGACCACACATGCTCTCCCTCCTTTCTGTTGAAGGATCAATTTTAGCCTAGTGATTATGTTGCGTGCCCCATATACAGAATCCATAGTCCTTGTCCTATTCAATAAAGACAAAAATGGCACAAAAAAATCTTTAAAAAGCACATTTCTGACTTTTTAAACTCTGAATGGACTGGCATCGCCTTGCCTAAGTGAACTTTTCCATGTTCATACTCAAGCAAGAGCACTGATATCGACTAACCCGCTGATCCTTGGTGTGCCAAAAACAGCTGCCCTGAACCTGTGGACCAGCTTACCACTTCAAATAAGAGCTGCACCCACTCCTGAATGTTTTAAATCCCTATAGAGACCAGTCTCCTCCTTTGGTTGCCTTCACAGAGACAAACCCACATTATCGTGTAGTCTAATGACCATTAATCATGACGTGGAAAGACGACAAAGTAAGGCTTTTAAATCTTGTGTCTGCTCGATGTTCAACAAGTTAATGGCTTGCTAACATGTTAAACACAAAACAAAGGAAAAACCTGTCAGTTTGACATCAGCTTTAAATACTGTTTCTGATGTTTTAGCTTATATGAAACAAAAATAGAGGGGACCTAGGGAGGAGCCCTGCAGGACTCCACTAGAGAGGATATACCCTCAAGCTCTTTGTCTGTAGAATATGATGAACCAGTTTAAAGCAGTTTCTGTATTTCTCAGGAACTTTACTCCAATGTTAAACTTCAGTAGTATATAATGACTGCAATGATACTGACAAGGCTACTTTTTTATGAAAGAAAATTCATTATTATCTTAAAACCCTTCTTCAATAATTTTTGTGAGCTTTTAACGTACAGCACATTAATTTAGCTCATCTTATGTTAATGATCTAACTTTGAACAATAAAAATCCAAATAAACTTTTTTCGAAAATGACTCAGCAGAACATTTTCGTATCATTGAGATTCAAAGCAGGTTGTTTAATTGTTGTTTTAAATCACTTGTAGATCTGCAGTAGCCCTTACATTTTCACAGAAAGCCAAGCAGACACAGAGGAGTCATAAAATACTTTTCAGCCATTTAATACAGTAAATCCCCCGCTCTCCTTAGCTTTGCTCTGATCACCCGTCTCCACTGCAAAATCTGCTCCAGTTTGAATATGCAGCTTTTTCAATAAAACATGAATCATAACGAGCACACAACAACCAGGCAACACTGAAAACATTTAGCTTGAAGGTTTTTGTGTTACCTGATTAAAATCCACAGTTATCAAAGCATTTGACAGTCACTGATTACATTTTCCTCCATCTGGAATTTTGTGTGATTTTACAATTAAGTGTTTATTTTTCCCCACCGTGGTTGTCAGTATTGTCTCTGTCAGAGCAGATCAGGATTCACTCACATCACACTGAAGCTCACTCGTATGATCCTCGTTTTGTGTCTTCTTCAACCATTAGAGCATTTCAGTTTGTATCTCGGCTCAGAGTTTCTCATTCCTCTAATGTCAGGCTCAAAGTGTCACATCCTCACCAACTGGAGTGATGGGAGATGATTCACTCGCTGTCACACACTCACCTTCCTACTCACTCCTATCTGCCCCTGAAAGCTTTGTTAATGCGTCTAATTATCCCGGCCAAGCGTGTAATTATACTACTGCAAACATTTTATTTTCCTCTGTGTTGCTATTAGCAGCATCATTAGCACCAAGAAGGCTTCATAAATATTAAACAATGTGTATAACTTTTGTGATACTCATCTCCAGATTAACAGGAACCATAAATATTACAAATATTTCTTGTAAATACATTATCCTCACACCTCCATTGCAGCAGTATAGTAGATGGGAGGACACAGTTGGTGAGATGAAGGCTCGTCCGTGTTTTTAATTACAGGTCAAAGCCTCTTTGGTTGTACTAATTAAACCCTGAGCAGGATTATGACTCACCCCTCAGATGGGAATGTATCCGAACTGACCTGAGTACAACAAGGCACACAGAAGCTCTGAATGACACCAGAGGAAACACAGATTAAAGAAGTGCTGATCGCCTTTTACTTTTCAGTAGTCATAATTTACAACCTGTCAAACACAGTGCCATCTTTGTCAGCTCGAGATTTATCACATAAATTTATCTGGCGGAGAACAGACTGAGCTGCTACTTGTGTTATTATCCTAGATACACTGAAATATTTGAGCTCTCTCTCTTTCCTTTTCAGTTTCTCACACATTCATTGTTTTTTTTCCTCTTTATTTGTTTTCTCGCTAAAGTTTAAATTAAATGGGACTGTGTCCAAAACAAAAACAACTTTAGGAGTTTCTCTGGAACGTATTGTTCCAAAATCAATACTGAGATCTCATCAAATTAAATTCACTGCAGTGTATTTTTTAACACTTAATCGAGTTCTTCTTTCAACCAATCAACCCAGAGAAGTAGATGTACATATTGCTGCCTTTGTTAAGCAACTCTTATTATGAAATCTGGTAAAACAATTACTGTGATATGGTAAACAACAAAACATCTCAGTGTTTTCTTTAGTTCCTTGTACAAAGTAAAACTGAATTTATTAAAGATCTTCAGAAATTCAACATGTCACATTCATATCTATGAAATTAAAAGCAGACGGTACATTTCCTCTGTCTTGATGAGCTTGGTTCTTATTCAGCAGGGTAACATTAAAGGTCACATATTCTCCTCCTCTTCAACCAGTGTAAATAAGTCTCAGAACTCCCC